TACGCTTTAGGATTTCTTTATTTGATGATTTAAAATTGCCAGTAAATATTCCATTTTACCCAAATTCAATAAAATACTCAAAGACTAATTGTAAATAAAATTTTACGCATTTAAAAACACATGGGTGCTCTTTTTTGTTTCATTAAATATTGCAGAGTATACAAAACTGCAAAAGAATACATAGTAAAAACTATTTATCATTTTTTATGATTATTTATTTTTATGCTGATTTTACATCAGTCTTAATTGCGTTTCGATTATCAGTTATTGGAAATTCACTTTTTCTTCAAATGACTATCCTTTACTATCCAACTGTCTTTCCAGATCCAATGCCTTTACAAAATTACCATTCACGCGCTAATGTAACAAGGATAAAAAAAATTTGGTATTTACAGTACAATATGGCAATAACATTTCTGGTTAAAAAAGTTTAAAAAGAAAAACATTATTATAGTAATAAAACCAAAATATACTTTATTGAAACTACTCATTTGGTAATTTTACGGCTCGATTGCTAACGCCTTACCAGAAATCTTGATTTTTAAAATCATGGTTTGTATTACCATACACGTATGAAAAATAAATATTTGAAAAGCAAATTTTAGCCGAAAATGATTTTTTATGCTTTGCTATAAACAAAATTTTGCCACACTTATGAAATTTTATCACATATAAAGCCATATTTATTATTAATTTTACCAAAATCAAAATCAAGGTGCTTCAAGAAAAATGACCAAGTTTTTGGTGTCCCCATGTGTCTAAAAACATGGTAAAGTTTACCATATACTTGTAATTTTGCTATGGTCATACATTTTCTCGGCAAAGTTATTGGTTTTATATATTTTGCAGTTCTTTAAATTTTATACGTTTATTAGATGGCTCAAATATAATTTTAAGTAATTAACTTTTTTAAGACTAAATTATGTAAAGCAAATAATATCGAAGCTAATTAACATATTTTTGTTTAAATTTTTTAATACATCGAGACTGGCAAAAATCTTTTTTATCAACATATTCACCATGGTAATCATTTTCATCAAATATACTTCAAAAACGATCAAACAGGAAGATAATAAAATAACCACAATATGCAAAATATAAGTTTAAAAGTTAATATAAGTTAATGGTGTAATACCAGTAAGATAATATCATGTTTCAAAATAACAGTTTTTTTAGGCAATAGTTTACATCAGTCTTAATAGGCATAGCTTAAAATCCTGAGATACTTATTAATTCAAAGTTCTTAAAAAATTATTTTCTCTCAACACAGATCAGTCGAATATATTTGCATTAGTTTTAGCCAATTTCTTATATTATGGTATTCTTCTTTTTACTTAAAAATTTATTTATTATCTTAGAAAAAAATAAATTTATATCAATTTTGTAAGAAAATGAAAACGCTAGAATGATAATCTATTAAATCTGGGGGGATATTAAATCATACATTAGTTCTTACAACTATAAGATTAATTAATTATATTCATAAAAAAATGAATACTAAAGAAATACTTAATATTTAAACATATTTTACCTATTTCTCTGTTTTTTGGCATTTTTAATCTAAATTCATACTATTAAAAAATTTTTTGAACATTTATAAATCGTAATGCAAATGATTATCGTATTTCGGATTCAAATGGAAAGTAAAAAAAATAAAACGTATCAAAAACTCTAATTATCAAATAAATTCTCACTCAATTGATTTTACAAAGATATTTAATGATAAGCCAGTTTTTCAAATGATTCAGAAAAGCATTTATTACACAAACGCTTTAAGAAAGTGTCACACACCCACACCCACCCACCCTCACACACACACAC